TTGCTTCTGCCCTACCTGCCGCTGAAGCCCCTCCCCTTGTGCCTGAACCCAAAGCTAATTCCCCCCCTTTGCCACCAGTGCTTCTGCTGTTGCTAGAACCCCTATGTCTGCTGCTGCAGCTGCGACAGCTACAGTTTCACCTGCTACTGCTGGTGATGGTGATAATTCTCTCGCTTCTGCGGCAGCTGGCGCAGAGCTTGCGCGCACAGGGCTCCGATGCGCCCATAACGCGCATCCGCGCCCCGCGCCCGCCATCGTTGCTGCAGCAGCCGCCGCCGTGGCAGCCGCTGCAGCCGCGGCAGCAGCAGGGGACAGCGCGGCTCCCGAGCCTGCTCCCAAGCCTGTAGGCCCGGCAACCCGAGCCTGCGAGTGAAACTTAGCGCTCAGCAAGGTAGCGTCAGCGCTGTCTTTCCACGTGCGCACTGCAGAGGGATTGCGCGTTGCAGCGCCAGCAGCAGCGGCGGCAGGAGGGGAAGGAGAGGGGGCAGCAGCAGCAGCAACGCCAGGCACTGTTATCACGAGCAGCAGCAGCAGAAGAAGCGGCAGCAGCGGGAGCAGCTAGAGAACCCACAGCAGCACCTAAACGCCCGACGCCCGTGCCTCCTACATCTCCTGCTGCTGCTCGCGCTGCTCCTGCTCCTGCTCCTCCTGCTCTACCTCCCGCAATCCCCCCGACTCCCCCCTCCCCCTCTCCCCCCTCCTAATGCTGCTGTGTTCGAGCCAAATGTCGGTGCGGCAGGAGGCAGGTCCTTTCTGGACCCCGGTAGAGTCACAACTGCGGTCTCTCTGCGCCACGACCCCGCGTTACTAGAACTAGCGAACGGATCGAACGGCTGATTGCTGCTGCCCGGCTGCGGGGGCGGCGCGGGGCTGCTGGCGTCATCATAGCACCCGTTTAGCAGGCTCGATAAAAACGAACCGAGTTTCTCTATAGCGGGTTCGTCAGGGTTGGAGAGTGCGGGTCTAAAAGGGTCGTGGCTGCCTTCTCTCGTGCTGTTCGTGCCCCCGCTGCTGTCACCTCCGCCTACAGTCACAGCGTCGCTATCACCGGCGGCGCTGCTTGACCCTTTACCGGTTGAAGGAGGAAGCTTCGTAGGAGAGTTGTCCACCTCGTCAACTATCGCGTAGTTAAACTCTGACTCCTGAAGCCACGCGAGTATCCGCGCGCGACCCGGCGCAGACGCGGCCGCGCTCGACGCCATTGGCACGGGCGCTGCGTCCCAGGTCCGCTCGCCATCGTAACTGCGCCACCCGCTCCCCCTGCGCCGCCTCCGCCTCCGCCTGCGCCAATACCTCCGCCTGCGCCAATACCTCCGCTTGCGCCCCCGCCCACCCTCCCGCTCTCCCCCTGATGCGCATACTGCGCGTGATGATGAACCCCCTGTGCGGGGCTGTAACTGTGACCTTGCGCCTGGCCCGTTATAAGCATACCCGATAAAGGCGACAGCGGTAGTTTGTCTCCTGTAGCTCCAGGTGTCGCGATTCGAGGCTCCGACATGCTATGGACCCCACCGGCCCCGCAAAAACCGCTCCCGCTAACTCCGCTTCCCACCGCGGCAGCATTCGATCCAAACCCCGCACCGGACGCTGCCCCCGGAGTGGACTGGCCTTGATAACTCCGATTCCAATCGCCGGCGACACCCGGCGACCGCTGCGACTCGCGCGGGGTCGCTCCGCGACTCCCGCCGCGACTCGGCGGCGTGCCGACGGGCCTCGCGTCGCCGGCATTCTCGGAACGGATGCTGCGGATCTGCGCGGCGTGAAGCACGGCGACGGACGACATGGCGACGCGGGTCGTCCGCCGCCGCCATCTGGCTCGCGAACTCGTGCACGCCCGCGGATGCTCCGGTCGCGGTTGGCGCGGCGTGCTTGCGGTTCGCGGGAGCGGGGGGGAGTGACGTGGCGTAGTCGTCGTCATCGTCCGCGGCTCGCGAGCGACAGAAGCAACAGAACATATTAGTGGGCGCGGGGACGCAGGAGAATCGGTGACGTGCTCCGTAAGAAACGGCGACTGACGCGGCACAATGTCGAGCGTAGCGCGCACACGGGACGCAGGAAGTTTACTAAAACTGAAAACTATTAGCTTGAAGAGCGTGAGCAAGCTAAAATGGAAGGTAAAGAAGGAATGGAGGGTACTTAGCAAACGGGAAGGTGGAGGCGACGAGGAGCGATGTGCTGCACGCGATGAGAGATGGAACTGCGATTTGGAACAATGCTCGCAGCAACTCGCGTTCTGAGTGGAAGAGTAGACTTACTGCCGTCAATTGCTGTCAAGACCTAAGCTGCAGGCGGCGTGAATCGTGGCTCGTGAGGGGAAAGGGATGGGATCATGGGAATGGCAAGAAAGCAAAGCGGATCAAGCAAACAAGCAATCAAGCAGGCACGGGGCAATCGCTAGTCGACGCAAGCAGCATGATGCATGGCGACCCATCTATCTCGGCTATAATCCCCATCGATATTGTCGCGACTTGGCGGTCGGGGGATGCGGTGGTTTGGGTGAGTCGAGGGTGACAGGGGTCACGCGGGGAGGACAAAGTTGGTGGGTTGATACGCGCGGGCGGGAATGCGCAACTTGCTGGGAGTGGTGGAGTGCGGTAGCGAGAGACGAGTGTGGTGCTCTTGCTTCGGTACTCGTCAACACGGTAACGACGGCCTTTTTGGTATCCGGTGCTTCGAATACATACAGCAAGTGTTTGCAAAAAAATCCAAATATCTTCAATATCCACTGATTTTGAATAATGGGTGTAATGATTGGCAAAGCTATAAAGAATATGTTATTTTTCCTTCACAGTAAAGAAATAAACGCTCAGCTTCAAGCTGCAAAATCAAGATTTCACAAATTTGTGCTAATCAAGTTTTTACTTGAGGCTCTTCTCTATCTCAATAACGAAGCGGTATTTCACATCGTTCTTCAACATTCTCTCATACGCCTTGTTCACGTCCTGGATGTCAATCTTCTCAATCATAGGCGCAACCCCCTTCTCCGCACAGAACTCCAGCATCTCCTGGGTCTCCTTGATCCCTCCAATCAAACTTCCAGCCACAGTCTTACGGCCTGTAAGTAGCAAGGGGGAAGTTCAAAATGATAAGCAATCACCAATACATGAGTCACAACCACAGCACAATGGGAAAATCAGCATTACACGAGTTTACAGCCCTTGCTTGGAATTAACAAGGCATCTCTATTTCAAAATCAAGAAATTGATTCCAGCATGGACAAACATGACTCACCGAAAATGAGTTGGCCAGCATGCAGACCGTAGGGCTCTGGGGGGACGCCAACAAGGATCATCTTGCCATTGAATGTGAGGAGGTCCAGGTATGGTGCCAGGTCATGCTGCGCTGATACTGTGTCCACTATGGCATCCAATGTCCCCACTGCTGCCTGTTGGTGGTGGAAAGAGTGCCGCAGGCAAACTAATTTTCAGCAAATCCACAGGGCCAACAAAAAAACGAAAATGTAACATCTAGTACACTCGGTTCAAATGTTCCCCACTCTGTCACCCCCATAAGACATCAAATCCACCTTCTCTCACCTTCATGGTGTCGGCTCTCACCTTCATGGCGTCGGCGTCCTTGGTGACAATGAACTCATCCGCACACATCACCTCCTTGGCCTCCTTCTCCTTGCTCGGACTCGTGCTCAGCACCGTCACGTGCATGCCAAACGCCTTGCCGAATTTCACCGCCATGTGCCCCAGCCCGCCCAGCCCCACCACTCCCAACCGCTTGCCGGCCTGGTTGATGCCGTAGTAGACCATGGGCGAGTAGACAGTGATTCCCGCGCACAGCAGCGGCGCCGCCACGTCGGACGGCAGCTTGTCGGGGATTGTCAGCACGAAGCTGTGGGTGTCGCGGAAAGTAGTGGGAGTTGGGGCGGGGGAGGGGCACGCGAGGAACTGTCAGGAAGCTAGTCTCGCAAAGTAAGATAGCAGACGAGTTTGTGAGCTTCGTGCATTTGACGCGAATAGCTGGAGCGGCAAGGGCGGGAAACGCCCGTCAAAATCGCGAAGGCCGCGAGTGGATCCGAAGAGACGTACTCCTGGTCGCAGACGTAGAAGGAGGAGTAGCCGCCCTGCGTTGACTCGCCCGTCTTGGGGTCCACCTTGTTGTACGTGTACACGCATTGCGGGCAGAACTGTTCCACGTGCTGCACGCATGGCTGGCACGTGCGGCACGAGTCCACCATGCACCCGATGCCCGCCCTCTGCCCCACCGCCACCCTCGTCACCTCGGAGCCCACAGCCTCAACCACCCCCGCGATCTCGTGTCTGTCGCGAAAAAGAAAACGAGGGGGAGAGAGCGGTGCCGGGTTAAAAAAGGCCAGCATGCAGGGAACAGACTATTCCAGAGGAGAAAGATGAAAACCAGGGAACGAGGGAGAGAGAAGTAAAGAGCTTTCTTAACATGGGAGAGAAAGAAGGAGAGAAGAAGAGGAAGAGACGAAGCGGACGTACCCTGGAACCATGGGGTACTGCGAGCCGCCCCATTCGTTCTTGACCTGGTGCAGGTCGCTGTGGCAGATGCCGCAGTGCGTGATGCGGATGCGCACGTCCTTGGGCCCCACCTCCCTACGCGCGACAGAACATAACACAAAGAAGCTTTGAGTTTCTCAAAGGCGAACGCAATGCGTGATACGAATGCGTGTACGAATCAATGGCACGGAACTTACGCCGTTCCACTAAGTTTTTCTTAATTCCAGGATCCGGTAGGTGGTAAGAGAAATGGACTTCAGACACAAGGCACGGATTTGGCGGAAACGCGGGAAAGATATGAATAAAGAGAGGCGAACCTGCGGTTGAACTTGAAGGGCGAAAGGAATCCCGACTGATCCCTGGCGGCATAGCCGATGCAGTTACCCTCTCCGACTTCGGCGGCCATTGCGAACAGCTGGTACGTCGTCGGGAGTATCCGAAAGGAAAGGAAGCTGAAGGTGGATCGAGCGAACGAGCGTCTAGACAACCGGAGAATGGTGATGCAGGAAGCATATTTGGATGATTATATATGTGGCGAGCAATGGGATAAGATGGAATTCCAGGAGTTTCTTGGAGGCCTTCCTCGTCAGGCAGATTCCTCTTCGGCCTCATGACCTATCATTCCCGCATGACCTGTGTTGTGGGCAAAGCAAACCTTCACACTAAATATTATCGAGGAGGATTCACCACGCTGATTGCGAATCTGAACCATCACGAGGTTTGGTGCCACGTTGACACGAGTGGGCCACAAGCATGACGCCAGCAATGGCAAACAAGCCTGTGTGTGGTTCGCTGACATGGCTGACTCTGCTGTGGTGGCATGCCGAGCGCCCATGCCGAACCTAGATGCGAGCGAACTTGTGAAGAAATTTCTCCCTGCACAAATTGCAGTATTGCTGACGTCGCCTGATTCTGTGATACTCCTGATGCCTGTTTGAGCCCCTCCCGGTTGCCTTGTGAAGGGGGCATATAAGCTGTATCAAACGTTTCGCATAAGTTCGTCAACTTCGCAGCTAGCTAAAAAGAATTCGCATGTGCTTATAAACAAGACCCTGCTACCTAGTTACCTAGTTTGACTTCAGTCTCTTCTGCTTGACTTCGGTCTCTTCTGCTTGACGCGCTTGTAATGTGGGTGCATGAAGCTGGGGAAACAACCTCGGGTGCAGCGTGTCCATCCGGCGCAAGGCAAATTCGCGCGCATGGGGTGAGCATCAGCTACACCTCACACCTCGTGAATGAGCCTTGCCACATTGGCACGGCTGGGCAGCAGGCCCGGCCAGCAATCAAGGCTCGGTGCGCGAATCTAGAGGTCTGGAGGCTGACATGGCTGCAGTCTGGTGGCGTGGTGTGGCGAGGCACCCAGCCCGAACCTAGATACAGGCGAACGTGTTGAGAAGTTTCTCCCTGCACAGATTGCAGGTTGGTTGACGTCTCTGGGATCTCTCGCGAGTCGGAGTTCGATGTAAAGTGCTCCGACAAAGACCTCTCAATCATACGATGCATTCACATGAAGCAGAGCTTGGCAACCAGTAAAAACTTCGTTCTTCCATGCTTTAGGGTTCACTTCAAACATGCAGATGATGCATCTACTTCAAACATGTATTCCAGCTATTACATCAGAACATGTTTATGTTTCACTTGCCAATACACGGGATCCATGCCGATGTGAACAGGGAACGGCTTCCCCGCCACATCAAGCTCACCATCCCATCCTCTATCTGTAACCCCAGCCCAAGCGGGAACCGTTTCAGCATCTTATGTACACTGTCTATCACTGACGTCGGAATGGTGCACGGTGCAAACCCCATCAGTAACAACCGCTTCCTCCATTGCCCCGCCCTCTCCGACCGCACAACCCGCTCATCCCCTTCACAAGCAATCCCGTTGATAATAGAGCGCGCGAAGTAAATCTCCTCGAAGACCGAGAGCAGGCGCTTGTCGGCGTTCCCGAGGAAGACATCGTGAAACTGGAAGGTGGCGAGGTGGTGGTCGACAATGTCTTGAAAGCGCGGGAGGAAGGCACTGTGGTTGGTGTCCAAGTCCACGTCACAGAAGGTGAAGAGTGTCGGATGCATGTCGTGGATCCACTGGGAGGGGGAACGAGGGGGTGTGGGTAGGGATGGGGAAGGAGAGGGGAGATGGGGAGGGTGGAGGGGAAGGCGCTGTGGTTGGTGTGCATGTCCACGTCATAGAAGGTGAAGAGTGCTGGATGCATGTCGTGGATCCACTGGGAGGGGGAACAGAAAGGGGGCAACGAAAGGGGAGGGGGGGAAGGGAAGATGAGGAGGGGGAGGAAGGCGCTGTGGTTGGTATCGAGGTCACGTTCAGAATGTGAAGCGTGTTGGATGCATGTTATGGATCCACTGGGAGGAAGGGAGGGGACGAAGGGTGGGAGGTGGGGGGAGGGGGTGGGGTGGGGAATAGGAAGGGATGGGGAGTGAAGGGGAGGGATAAGGAGGGGTGGGGATGAGGATGGGGAGAGGTGAGTGAGAGATGGCAAAGAGAATGGGGAGAGAAGAAGTGGGAATGGAGCAAGCAGATGGTGGAACAGGAAATGGGTGAGACGGAAGGGAGGGGTTGGGAAATGTGATAAGGCAAGGGGTAGAATGTGCATAATGCAGGTGATGAAAGGATCCAAGAAAGACAGTCTACTGACCCACAGCACACACTGTGAGATGACATGAGCCACTGACCCATTTGGACTGTTGACTATTGACTATTGACTCGCAGGCAGCACGCAGCATGGAAGGATCCAAGTACAACGATTCACTGACCCGCAGCACGCAGTGGCGAGGGCTACTCACCCGCAGCACGCAGTGGCGAGGGGCTACTCACCCGCAGCACGCAGTGGCGAGGGCCGTTGGGGGAGTCGGGCAGCAGCAGCAGCTCCAGAGCGCACACCACCACCAGCGTCTCATGCCATTGCCGCTTCACCTGGCAAGGGACGGGAGGGAAGGGCATGGGGGAAGAGAGTGTGGGAGAGGAGCGCGTCGGTGAAGAGAGGGTAGGCGCGGAGGGGCGGGAGGGCAGCAGCAGCAGTAGCTCACTTTTGAGACGTCTCAAAGGACGCACGGCTCCACCAGCGCCTCGTGCCACCGCCACTCCACATCACATGCGCGGGACAAGAAGGAAGAGGAGAGTTCAGGAACAAAGCACTGTGAAGCTGGGCATTGAGTGAACAGCACCATTCAACCTCACCTGCTGCGGGTCCACCTCAGCTGGTGTAGGGTTCACCTAGTACAGGGTTCACCTAGTACAGGGTTCACCTAGTACAGACAGGCAGGCTGATTTGGTGCAGGCGGATCCTCACTTAATAGAGCAGCTGCAGATACCTTCTCATCTCACCTGGTAGAGCAGCTGCAGGTTATCCTCGTCCACATTCACGCTCTCAAACTCAAACGGCACGCCCAGGTGCCGCGCCACGCCGCGCAGCCGCCTCCCCACGTCCTCCATCGCCCTCAGCCTTTTAAAGTCCTTCCTCCCCGCACAAATGAAACTCGCGGTGTCCATCCCAGTGAGGCGCAGAGACGGCGGCCCCCCGGGGCGGGAGGCGAGGAGGTCCATGAGCACGGGCAGGTGGATGGGCTGGAAGCACCCAAAGTCCACTATGTGTACGTGCGTGCTGCCACTCACTGCCTCTGCTACTAGCCCCGCCACCGAGATGCTCGCGAAGAGCGGGAACGGCTGTGAGGACGCGTACAGGGTCAGGGCCTCGTCTAGCTCCTGGGACCGGGAGGAGGGGAAGGGGGGAGGGGAAGGTGGGAGGAGAAAGGGGGAGGGAAAGGGGGGAGGAGAAGGGGAAAGGGAAAGGGAGGAGGGAGCGCCAGATTTGAGTAAAGCTTGCGTAACTTGCACCCGCTTTTCACCATGCTTGCTCTGGCTCGCTACAGAGTCGCTCACTTCCCAAGAACAGCATCGTACCAGGGGACGTTTCGTCTGGACCTTCATGTCCTGGGAGGGCGCCTCTTGGGTCCCTGACCCAGCCAAGCGCCTCATAAGGCCCTCGTAAAGTCGGCCGCTGCACTGCACACAGAGAGTGACTTACGACCCTGCTCGGAGTCTCAGAGTGTCTCACCTTGGGAGGGCGCCTAAGAGGCGAGCAGAAGTGTTGGAACCCCGTCCCAGCCATGCGCCTCAACCACCCCTCCACCACACGTAGTGAGTCAACCACTCTACAGCACAGAGTGACTGACTTACCACCCCATGCCTGCATCTCGTACCTTGGGAGGGCGCCTAAGAGGGGTGCAGAAGTGTTGGAACCCTGTCCCAGCCATGCGCCTCATCAGCCCCTCCAACACGTAGTGCGTCAGCCGCTCCACCGCATTTCCTCGCACCTTCCCCAGCGGCTTCAGCTGCACAAACGCCGAGTGAAACCGCCCGGTGTCGCCCGCCTCTGCCGCCTCCGCCATCGCCACCATCTGTGCCCGCGCAAATTTCTCCACTGAGCGAAACTTCCCAGAAACATCCGGGCCTGTAACTTCAACGGATACAGGTCCAGCGGTAGGCCTGGGGAATTCCAAGGCTCCGACCTGCCCCCGAGCCTCCCACCAAGCTGCGGACAGTGCTGCCACTGCAGCGTTGCCTCCTCTTGCTGCATTCTCCCCCATCCCCTTTATAAGTTGATCTGACATACCACTTGCTCCTCCTTCCCAGGCCCCCCAGGGAACCCAACAGCCAGATCCGCTATAGCCAGATTCGTTAAAAGAAACAGCATCCCTATAATCAAGAGAGACTGCTCCTACCCCGTAAAGACCGGAGGTTCGGCGGCGAGACCCCGGGGGCTGCAGCGACTGAAGGTCGTCCAATCCGGTCGCGCCACCTGGCAATGCCTCCAAAAGTTCCCTAGCAACAGCGTAGCTGCTCCCGCCACCACCAGTACCGCTGCCAAACCCAGCAGCACCCCCGGTTCCACCAGCAGCACCACCAATCAATGCACTAGCCCTGGTAAATCCAAAGGAATCCATGCCTCGGACCCTACCGCCCACCACCATCATCTCCCCGCCTGCTGCCCCACCCGAAGCAACCCCCCCCTGTGCCGCTGCCTGCTCCTCCTCTGTCCCGCGAGCCCCTGACGCGTCCAAGCAAGTGAGGGCGGGAAAGGCGGCGGCAGAGGCAGAGGGAACGCCAAAGTCCGAGGGAGGGGCAGAGGGAGAGAGGGACGCGGCAGCTGAGGGAGGGGACAAGCGGGAGGCATATGCAGAGGCGAAGGGCGGGGCGGGCTTGGACTGAATGTCGTTCAGCACGGCCGCCAGGCGAGACGCCAGCGCGGACGGAGGGGCCCTCCGCGCCCTGCTGCTCCTAGACGCAGCTGCTGCAGGCGCAGAAGCCGATGCAGATGCAGAGGCAGGGAGGCTCCTAGAAGACACAGCAGGGCCAGCGCGCGTTCTGGGCGAGGCTTGGTTCGTGCATGCGGGTCTTGCGGGTTCATGGAAGGAGGCGTGGTGGGTCGTGGCGGTGGTGGGAGTACGTGGGAGCGGGTTGGGTGGAGGTGAGCAGGCTGTGGGGGTGGTGGCGACGGCAGGCAGCAGGTTGCGTCCAGGTGGGCTGTGGGTCAGAATGGGGGGATGAGAGCTGGCCGTGGGGGGGGAATGAGACACACCTACCCCAGTCACACCTCCACCCAACACACCTGCCCCTCCCTCACCTGCCCTTGCCCCCGCCACACGTCCCCACAGCACACCTCCGCCGGACGCCCTTTTCCCCAGCACCCCTCCGCCCTGACCGGACGAGCTTCCTCCAGAGCCCGATGTGGAATGCGATGGTGATGAGAGCGCCGACGCTGACGTGGCAGGGGAATCCGTCGTGGCAGGTGATCCCGAGGCTGTTTCGCAGGCTCGGAAGGCAGGAGGGGGAGGCGCAGCACTGCCAAGTGCCCCACGACTAGCAGCGGCTGAAGCAGCACCAGCAGAGGCAAGAGCAGCAGCAGCAGCAGCCGGCATAGCAGCAGCCGGCATAGCAGCTGTTGGTTGGTCCCGGAGCCTCTTCCCTCCCACTGATGACCGCGCAGGCACTTCCAGTGCTGCACTCGTACTGGCAGCAAAAACACCAGCAGCAGAAGCAGAACGCGAAGTGGTGGCCGTAGCAGCAGCAGCAGCAGCAGCAGCAGCAGCGCGTTGGTTGGTATGCGCTTGAAGCGCCCCTCCTGAACTCGCGCCACCACCAGCAGGAGCAGCAGAAGCACCACCACCACCCTCGCCCACCAGAGCCGATCCCCCCAGCAGCTGCTGCAGCAGCTCCCACTCGCCTCCCGCACCCATCCCTCCGCCCCCCACACCCGCCGCGCCTCCCGCGCCCATGCCACCGCTCCTCACACCGCCTGCCACCACCCCAACCCCCTCCAGCCTCCCCATGGCGTGCACGTCCCACGCTCGCCCCCCCTCGCACAGCACATCACGCCCTCCGCTTGCCCGCGTTGCCGCACCCACCAGAGGGGCACGCGGCGATTCACCCCCCTGTGCCATACGCCCCAGCGATCCACCCCCCTGCATTCCACCCTCCTGCGCCAACAAGCCTTGAATCCCACCATCCCCACAAGATGCACCCAGCGCAGCACCTCTCGTGGCCAGGAAACTTCCAGGCAAAGGCTGGTTCCGCAGCTGAAGCAGGACTTGCTCCCGAGCCTGCCGCCAAGCCACGGAGGCTCGGTCACAGGGGTTGAGAGCGGTGCTGCTGAGCAGGTCGGTTTGCGCTGATGCGGCTTGCAACAGGCCTCCTGCTGCTTGTTCTTGCCGTGCTAAAGCTTGCTGCGCTTGCTGTGTTATCGCCTGTTGTTTTATCGCTTGCTGTGTTAGTGCTTGATGTGTTAGCGCTTGCTGCGTTACCGCTTGCTCTGTTAGCGCTTGCTGCGTTACCGCTTGCTGTGTTAGCGCTCGCTGCGTTAGTGCTGGGTGCAGTCGATCATACTGTTGCTGTGTCACCTGCGCCTGCTGCATCTGCTGCATCTGCCGCTGTTGCTGTTGCAATTGCTGCAGTTGTTGCATCCGCTGATGCTGCTCGTGCTCCTGTTGATGCAGCTGCTGTTGCATCTGCTCCTGCTGTTGGTGCATCAGCATGAGTCCCCGTGGTGAGAGGACATCGTGTGCTTGTCCCTGTAACAGCCGCCGTTGCTGCAAGAGCTGCAGCTGCAGCAACATTCGTTGCTCCTGCTCTTGCTGATGCTGAATTAGCTCCTGCTGCTGCTGCTGCTGAAGCTGGCCGAGATGTTGCAACAGCCGTTGCTGCTGCACCTGCTGCAGCATCTGCGTCGCCAGCGCGGACATATCCTCTTGTCGCTGCCCTTGCTCTTGCTGCTGCTCTCGCTGCCGTTGCTCTTGCTGTTGCTGTTGCTGTTGCTGCTCTTGCTGTTTCTGTCGCTGGTTCTGCTCCTGTAGATCCATCTGTTGTTGTTGCTGCTCTTGTTGGTCTTGCTGCTGCTGCTGCTGCTGCTGCTGATGAAGCAGAATCTGCATCTCCAAGTTCAGCTGCTGCTGCTGAAACTCAAGCTGCTCCGCATCTAATGACGCCAAACCTTCACCCCCCATTCCTGAACTTGTTCCAGAACCTGCTCCCGAACCTAGATCCGAACCTGCGCCCGAGGTTGATCCAACCATCATGGCCCTAGCAACAGCTTCGTCTAGATCCAACGGCCGGGGAAAATTTACCGACGATTTGTCAGGTTTTCCTGTACTAGGCAACTGCATTTGCTTTAAGAGCTCTTCGTCGCTGCTTGTAACGAAGCCAGCGACATCGTTCGAATTCCATGGGAGCTGCGTCGAGTCTGAAAGCCACGACAGCTGCGACGGATCTAAGAACTGCAGCGGCAAATCCTGCAGCAGCTGCTCTCGCGGCTGCTGTTGCTGTTGTTGCTCCTGCTGCTGTTGGTGCTGCTGCTGCTCCCGCTGCTGCTGCTGCTGTTGCTGCTCCGGCTGCAGTTGTTGTTGCTCGCACTTTTGCGGACGTTGCGGCCGTTGCTGAAGGGCAGAGACGCCGATAGAGCTGCACTTCTCTCCCGGCATCCCTCTGATCCCGAGGAGCTTAGGGTTTTCATTGTCGACCGAAACGTGCAGTTCCGACCATAACTGCGTCACGGACGGCAACATGGAAGGGGTTTCAGCCGCGCTAACGGCTACTTGGCCTGACGCGTTACCCGGGAGAGCAGTTAGTAAGATATCATCCTGCGAAGTCACGATGCTGCCGTGCGAAGTCAATATACGGTCGTGCGAAGTCATAATATAATCGTGCGAAGCCATAATACTGTCATGCAAATCCAAGAGTAAAAAGGTCGAGGAGCATGGAGGGATTACACCAGGGACGATGCGACAAGAGAGAAGGGAAACAACATAACACAGCAAAATACTGGCTTTTCGTGGATGGCAGGACAGGAGTACGGATGGATTAGGGTTTCGTCGATGAGACCTGCCATGCGACTCTGCCAGTGCCTGCGAATGCGACTGACAACTGTTCTGTTGTGCTAGAGTTGTACAGTCCTCGTACAGGTAAAGAGAAGGAAGCTTCCAGACGTCAGCAATGGTGTCTAGAGACACTGTACCTGGGAGTGAATGAGAGTGACTGTAACGGGGATGAAAGACAGGGAAACGCTGTGTTGTTCCAATTGGAAGCGTGTGATGAAGACAAGCACGTTGCTTCCTGCCTTCTCCCAACCTTATGATTGGCAGATATAGTGACGGCAACAACTTTTCAGATTTGGTGCGTCTCCGTAACATGGGCCAGTACAGAATTGGCATAATCTGGTCTCAAAAGCGAAGCATATACAGGTACACTGATGAATTTAACAATGCAGTTAAGAGTCAGGGCAGACAGCCACATAAGCAAACCAACAATGCAGGCTCTCCCAGAATTAAAGAAAGACAAGGCTGAAGCATGCCTTTAGTGGACTACATTAACCAACTTTACTACTCAGCAGCTAAGCTGCATAATAATCAGAACCACCCAGCACATGGACGGCCAGGAACCGGCTTCATTGCGTGTATTTGACAATCCAAGGATGACCTGAAAGCAAACCACACAAGGATTTGAAGATAGCAAGAATGCCATGAAAGAGGCTCAGTAAAATCCTAACACAAAGCTGAGATGAAAATTCACAACCACCACCCCAGACACTCACAAACAAAACCCATGCCCACCATACACAACCCCCCACCCAATAAGACATGCTCCTAAAAAACTCTCGCAGACAATCTCTAGGCCTGGGCTAACTCACCAAGAATCTCCTTGGCAGTAATTCGTGTAGAGGCATCCTTATCCAGCATGGCACGCACGAGGCTCTTGGCGTCTTCGCTCACACCCTCCCAGTGGGGCCCGCGCATGCGCACAGGGCCGTGTAGAATCGCCTCCTGCACGGTGCGTCCGAGCGATGCAAAGAAGGGCGTGCGCCCCGAGAGCATGATGTGCAGCACCACGCCCGCGCTCCAGATGTCAGCCGCTGGGCCGTATGTTCCCGAGAGCACCTCAGGCGCCATGTACTGTAGCGTGCCCAGCTCCTCCGTGCATGGCTCGCCTGAGGGGTGGAAAGTAATGGGGAGGTGTGGAAGGGGAAAGGTTGGTGAATACGACGTGGGGGGGAAAGGGGGGCAGAAGGCGGCACGATGAGGAGCGGAGGGGTGGGAGGAAGAGGAAGGGAGAACCAAAAGAAGGGAGCAACGGAATGCTCACCCCGAGTGAACGTGGCAACGCCGAAGTCGGCGAGCTTGACGTGAATCTCGTCCTCGTCAACAGCACCACCCGCGACCTTCGCAGGAGCAGCCATAATGCATCCCAGCACCGCTGCAGCCGCGCCCAGATTCCCCTTGTTCTGCGCATCCCCATCACTGCCGCCCTCTCTCCGCCCCTTGAGCAGAATGTTTTCCGGCTTCACATCCCGGTGCACCACGCCTGACACGTGGCACCACATCAGCGCCTGCACCACCTGCTGGCACGCGATCGCAGCCGTCCGCTCCTTCAGCCGGCCCTCATCCTTCACACGATCGAACAAATCACCTCCGGAGCAAAGCTCCATCACGATATGCACCGCCTCCTCGTCCTCGCACGTATCCTCAATCTTCACCACATGCGGATGGCCCTTGAGCGCCTCCATCACGGCCACCTCATGGCGAATGTCCGCGGCGTCTTGCATGGCCACGATGTTGCTCTTGAGGATCGTCTTGCACGCCAGCACGCGGTTGGTTCCGCGCTCCACGCACTTGCGGATCACGCCGAACTGCCCGCTGCCCAGCTCCTGCGGCGCGAGCACAAAGCGCCGCAGCAGTGACGAGTACGGGCGACCGAGCACGAAGTCGCACGGGCGCAGGTGCTGCTGGTTCGTCTCGTGGAAGGCTTGTAGGAGCTGCAGCTTTTGCTGCTGCCGGAGTAGTTGCAGCTGCTGCTGCAGCCGCTGCTGCTCGTCCGCCCATTGCTGCCGCTCCTCTCTCCTCCTCTCCTCCGCGCGCTCGCTTTCCGCTTGCCTCTCCGCCAGCATCTGACGCACCTCCGCGTCCGCCGTTAGCTGCTTGCGCGGGGTCGCACTGACAACGCTTTCGGTTTGCGCCGTTGTCTTCTTGTGCGCGTTACGCGCCGCGTTGCGCGCCTCCTGCAGCGCGAACTCGCCAACGTACGCGTCGGGCGCATCGCCGAAGTACGACGAGAGGAAGTCGCCCGGCACTGCCGCCGCTCCGCCCGTCACTCCGCCGTGCTCCTTGCTGCTCGGCGCCTGCTTGACTCGCATCGACTCTCGCGACTCGCGCGGCTTTTCCCGCCCGCCTTCGTACGGCAGCACGCTCCAACGGTCCAGTTCCACGGCCGACGCGCTCGCCCGCACCGCAACCCGGCCCTTGCTGCTCTTCTTCCCGCCGCTACGGCCGCTCCGGTTGCTCCCACTCGCGCCGAAGCTACCAACGGCGATGCTGTCCGCGCTGACGCTCGATGCGGGCGCGCTGGCCCCGCTAACGACAACTGGCGGAAGAGCAGACAGCGGCAGCGGCGCATCCATGCCGACGGGCGCATCAGCGAAGGGCGCGTCGCCGAGAGACAGCCCGTGGCGGTGCTGCGCCTTGCGCGCATAGCGCGTATGCGAGGCCTTGGGGGCGCTACTGGGATGCAGCGGCGCGGAAGGCGCGTCCACTGCGGGGAGAGAGGCAGCGCCTTTCTTCTGTCGCGCGGCGAGCAGCAGATTCTCCGAAACCGACCCCAGCTGGTTCCACAGCGACGGCGACGTGGAGCGATGCATGCTGCCTCCCCCAGGTGCGACCTCCACCACCAACCCCTCGCTCACTTCCTCGTAGTCGCCCCTGCGCCGTTCCGGGGTCGCCGGAAGCGGCGCAAACTCCCTTGATCCCACGAGCGGCATCTCTCCGCTGTTCGCGGGGGACCATTGGTTCGCGCCGAACAACATCTCCTCCGCCTCGAGGAGCGCAATCTCCCCGCTGCTCGCGGGGGACTTCGGAGGCCGCATCAGCGCCACCTCTCCGCTGCTCGCGGGCGAGGGGCAGCCGTCGCGCTCGTTAAATGGCCGCGGCTTCAGCGCGAGGGGCGGCTTCTGGCGACGCGCGGCCCCAGCGATGGGTCGGGGGACGGCGCCCCCTTGCAGCGCTCCGAGTTGCCCCCACGCGGCGGCATCGGCGCCGCGCACCTTCCGCGCAACGGTCTGCGCGGCATCCTTTAAGATCGTGACCGCCGCGCTGCTTCGACCGCTCCTATTGCCGCCCCCTCCGCCGTCCCCGTCGTCGCCGCTCTCCTCTCCGTCACTCCTCCGTATGTCACGGCGCATCTCATGGTGAAGAAGACGCGGTAGCTCTGGTGCGGGTGCCACTTGCGACGTTTTACGAGTCGCGGGAAACCCACCAATCACAGAATGGTGTGCGCCAGCGCGAGGGCTGGCAATAGGCGTCTCCCTGCGGCTGCTCGGGCGCCGTCTGCGACGCGCGAACACGCCGAACGCGCCTTGGCACGACACGGTGCTGCTGCTAGTGGTGGTGGAGCTCGAGTCGCCGTCGTCGCACTGCGATAGAGTCAAAATCGACTGGCTCTCCAGCTCGCGGAGATCGAAGGAAGACGCGGAATCCGCCATCTGCCGTGCCCCGCACGAGCTGCTCTGCTGCAGGTTGCGGAACCCCGACTGTGCGAACGATTCCTGCGACGCGACTCGGCGATGGTGTGCAAAATGAGACTCGGCGAACCGCGGCGACAAAGATATACCGTGACTCGATGGCTCGTTAAGGGAATATACGGGAGCAGAACTGTCGCTGGGTTCACGGTGATGGTTGTGGTGGGGGTGGCGGGGGTGGGGGTGTTGGTAGTGGTGGGAAGTGTTCGACGGCTCCTGATGCTCCCAATACTGCGAGCGAGGCGGCTCGTGGATAAAATCGACGGCTACGGACGACGACATTCTCGTAACCTCGAACAGATTGTATCTAATGTCTTCTCGCGAAGAAAGTCCAGGGGCCGATCGATGTCTAAGATTCACCACTAAAGCGGCGGCAGAATTAGAAGCTGGAACCGCGAGACGAGCGAATTAACCCGAACAGGACGCCTGCTGCTCTAATGGAGTCTCTGGAGCGTAGGTCACGGACGGGCAAAAAATGTGAGATTCAAAGTGAAGAACACAGGGGAATGTGGGGTGTGGAATGGCTGAAGAGTGATGGAATGGTGGCTTGGTTTGGGGAGGTGGTTGAAGAGAAGGGGCCATGGTTTGGAACAGAAACGGAAACAGAACGGTAGAGGGAAAGAGCGGGATGGAAATGGGGTTTGGTTGGTTGACGTAGGGGTGGCGGAGGGACACAGTACCAGGGTAGAAAGCACACGAGTCTCGACGACAGCACCGGCAGCTCGAGTGTGCGGACGAAGTGCTGTCGCTTTCCTCGCTTCCCCATTCGTTGCTGTTCTACGCCTAGTGCAACTGCTTGGCTGGAATGGAAAGATCCAAATCAAGTGCACTTTTCTCCACTCCCTAGCTGACAGGTGGCAGTCACGTTAAACTGGAGCTTTTCCTCAGGTAGGTCCGTCTTGCCAAAACAAAACGATTGTGGAATCTTTCGAACCAGGTTGTCAGATCGCGGAAACTGCGAAAAAACATGCGGGACAATCTTGGGGCAAACATTTTTTTTTTTAGGTAGAAGGGCCTAAATGAATTACGTGTACACCTCTAGAGTCGTTCTGAAAGGGCAACAGTAACAGTCTTGGAAACTTTGGATTGGGGCTCTCTCGATTCGATTCCAGAAACACAACCAGGCACCTCGTCAACTTGTAGGCAGAAATACAGAAATGCAATCAAGTAAGATCAGGAACCTGCACGGACCTGGAATCTTGCCATGGTACAATGCTGCAAGCAACCAGAACAACCACTCTGAGCGTGCCAAGTGTACAGCTTATGACATCGCTCTCGACTTTCGGCAGCAGTGTCCTTTGCTGCCCCAGGCACCGCCACCACCACACTCGAAGCGAGGCACATTGACCGCTCGAAGTCATTGCTGCCACATTTGGATCCGTCCAGCACAGTCACTTTCGACCACCGTCGACCTGACCTACGGGCAGAAAAAAACTAAAACCCCATCGGATGGCATGCCATCCGAGGGAGGCATCAACCCTAAATCCATACCTCCCCGTGTTTAGGGTTGATGCCTCCCTGACCGGATGCGTGCCCGACTGGGGTTTATTTGTTTTGCCCGCGGGCAGCGAGCTCATCCGGCGGGGTCGCTTGTCGGCTGAGCTATACTGAGCCGTCCAGCACAGTTCGCGGCTCTCCGCGTGAAATTAATGAATTCCGTGTGGAAGCTTCTGTTCCAAACCCAATCGTCGAAGTTGACGTGGAGATTGAAAACACGAGTGTTGGGTTGGGACAGTTATTGGTTTCTGACATTTTCAGATGGCGTCACCCAAACATCTGCAAACCAGTCCTGTCTGGAACAATTCCAGATACAACTGTCCCTGTTATGAATCAACTTGCAGAGTGCGCAGTAAAACGAATATCGAGAATGATTGAGTACTGAATCATAAACAATGAAGTAGCGAGGCCTAAATAGGGGAAAACCTAGCTAGGCGGGGGGTTCGAGATGGGATGGCTCGGTGATGGTTGCGATTGGAGCGGAGGCCGACTCAGGAGTGGTTCGGTGCGACGAAATAGGAAGGTCAGATTCGTCGCGTGACCCTCGGGATGGCCTCGCTAACGAGTGCCTCAGTAAGGATTTGTAAATCCTTACACTCTCCCACCTTCTAAATAAGGCAGCCCTGTACTGAAACAGGCCCCACACTAGCGAGGATTCCGTAGATCTCCTCCTTAGCTGAATCCGACGGCCGAAATGCCTTTGACTATAATTTTGAAAAGGTTGGAATGTAAGCCGTTGATGAAGTCCGATTTCGATCTGACGGTCGAAGATGAACTGCCCAAAATGAAGTAGGAGTTGGAATGTGGGCCGTAGATCGAGCAGGTGTAGGTCTGATGGTCGAAGACTGACGCGAAAAGAGAAGGAACCTACTGACGCGAGTTCAAACGCGATTAAGCAAGGACCGTTGATCTTGTCGGTGTGATCGCGATCGTCCGTCGTGCTGACGCAACCTGACAAACTCAGAAAGGACCAAGAAAAACGCCAAGGAAATAACAGTGCAGCGCACTTTCTCCCCCCCTCCAAGAAAGCTGTCCACAGAAACTTCAAAGCTGCGCCGAAGTAAAACCCAACAGAACCAGGTGTTAAGTCCCACTGAAAACGAGCGTTGAGCGTAGGGGACAAGGTGAAAACGTGTCGGTGTGGAAACTCGATGACGACACCAGGTGTATGTGCCCCAAAATTTCTCATGGGCGAGCCAGCGGAAGTAGATCAGAAACCGCAACGGAAAATCCACATTGCTCGAAATGGACTTGTTTTGTCGTCATCTCGCCGGAAAATCAGGCGATATCTTCAGCAGTTGCAGTTGGCAGCACCTGACGTGGTTGATATTGAATGCAGTTGTCGTGGGCGGGTCAAAGGCGAGTTGTCGGTAGCAGGGTTGGAATGGTTTCTCCGAGAAATTTGTCGTAATGCGCCGAGAGTTAAAGGGCAGGGATGAAATTTTACAGCTGTCGCTCCCCCCCCCCCCGTCACTGTTGTTGCCGCCTTCTTCAGTTCGTCGTAAGTCGTTCGTACCCCTTGAAAACTCCGTGTAGTTCCCGTGGTGTTGCCCTGCGTAAATGTCGCGCACGTTTAACCAAACGCCGAATTCTCCTCCGAAATTGTCGCCGCTTCTCGCCGTAAAACCTGTGAAGTCCCGCGTATACTTCGAAAATGTCGTTTGAACACAGCCCCGAAACCGCAGATGCAGGTGCAGCTCTCCTCCGAAAATCTCGGTCGTTCTATAGCCGCCCACCCGGTCACCATCAGTTTCCTTCGGTTACCCGACCCCAGCGTGTGGGTTCAATCGAGAACCGGGGACTGCCCTGGGTCTTCCGAGACCGAATTTCACGGAACCTAGTGGCGTCAACGCCGTTGACCTCGTCGTCGAAACTGCTCCCGCCGATGAAGTTTAACCGAAAACCACGCAAAACTCCCACTGGCGCTTTGCAGATGTTCACCCATCGCTCGTCGCCGGTAGGTTATCCGAAAACTTCGGCTGCTCCCACGCTCCCTTTAACTGAAGAATTTCCCGCGGTGTGCGTTTAAACACCAGTGAGTTCTAGGTATCCCCGCCGCTGTGTTTCTTGCCAGGCGACTTAAAAGTGACCCTTCAGGCGAAGTCCCTCAACGGCTCAACGGCACTCCAAGAAGCGAAGAAACACCCTCAGCTTCTATTTTTTCGTTATTTTTTTGTATGAAAAGTCACCCGAAAATCATGGTTGAGGCAGCAGTCCCGAAGTTATTCTCCGCCGTGTGGCCCCGACGTTTCCGCCGTTAACCCTGGTACTCCGATGTTCACCCATCTTCATACCCGTCGAAACCACTTAGCGAATCCCAGGTATCATTGGCAATGTACCGCTCGCCGCGCCTCCATGTAACAATATCAAACCCTTTCGGGGGTCTACCGAATAGACTCCAAAATTCGCGGTGGATTGGTGCACGGGCTCAACCTCTCACTCAAGTGATCTGTTGGATCACCCACAACTTTCCCTCCGTCGTCATTTTTTTCGTATTCACCCCCCGGCAATTCCGCTTCCCGCCGTTCACCCAGCGTCCGCTATTGTCGGATGAGGCATCGTCGTTGTTGCACGCGCGAACTCGGCCACGTTGGAGAGACAAAAGCTATCGGAGTCGGGGCAGCCTTAGTTAAAAGGAAACTGTCGCCCAACCGTTTTGCAGCCCGCCGTGCCTATCAGCTGTCGAACGGGCACCAATCCAGGTGCCTTTAACCAGCACAGGGTAGGCACGTGTTCACCCCCGTTATTCGACCAAGTAGGTTGACTGCATGAGTCAGAACCAGGACTTGGTGGGGATGGTGAGGTTCGGGCGAAGTAGGGCCGCAGATCGATTCCTCTGGCTTTTAATCTGCTCCCCACGACGTTCTTCAACCCCCGCTTAGCCGTTGGACCGTTTCTGCCCGTGTGTCCCGGCAGCCTATACCGACCCCTCCTAAATTGTCGGGCGGTACCTTGGACACCGTTTAATCGTGGGCTGTCAGCAGCTGTCCCCGAAAACAACATCCCTGGTCAGGAGAAACTGTTCTCGATAGTGCCGGCCAGCTTGCAACAACATTAGGTACGCAGTGTCACCGAGTTGATTCGAGGTGTACCTGCCCCGATTTCCCTCGTCGCCTGCGTCCCACTTCCTCGTAAGTGCGATTTAGCCACCGCGTTTTCCGTTGCAGCCCGTAAGTGTCAGCAGGTATGAAGTCCCGTCTGTCCACGAGCACTCCTGCCGAAAATTGCTGATGACGCGCCCGCCAATGCAGTAAAAGCCGCCGCACTTAACAGATCGGGCGGGACGGCAGTTGACTCCCGCTAAGTCGGGCAGTCTAGTGTCGTCTCTCCTCGCCACCGACATTTTCGGACGCAAAACTCCATATGCGCCTGGCGAGTTCCCCAGCCGACTTTTTCTCCACAGTAGCTCCGAAATTATCGCCACAATGACGCATGTCCCTTGTCGCCAGTTGCCGAGCCACACTCCGTGAGTCACGCGCGCAACATGACGACGAGCCACCGTTGTCACTTGCCGCATGGGACGACTCCGAAGTTGTCGCGCAACTGTTGACCCAGGTTCGACGGCGTCAACTGCCACACACGCTGACGACTTCCGCAAATTTCGTGCAGGTGCCGACGCAGGTCCGCTGACGCCAGCTGTCTCACAAAATCCCGAAATCGTCGTTCAAACCGCAGCGGAATAGAAACTCACGTTTAATGTCGCGACAGCTACAGCTGTCCGTTGCCCGGGGGGAGGGAGGCCACGGTCGATCGCAACCGTTCGAGGCAAGGATCTGGCGGTGCCGAAGGAGTACCCGTAAAACTATGGCCGCGAGGAGCAACTAACTCGTTCTCCTGGCCGGCCTACGCAACTCCTGGACCCCAAGACATCCTTCCTCGTCCCCCCCCCCGAGGGGTATTACACTCTAAAAAGCGGGGTGAGCTAGGAAAGTAGCTCTGATACCAGGTGTTACGAATCAACTTGCAGAGTGCGCAGTAAAACAAATATCGAGAATGATTGAGTACTGGATCAGAAACAATGAAGTAGCGAGGCCTAAATAGGGGAAAACCTAGCTAGGCGGGGGGTTCGGGATGGGATGGCTTGGTGATGGTTGCGATTGGAGCGGAGGCCGACTCGGGAGTGGTTCGGTGCAACGAAATAGGAAGGTCAGGTTCGTCGCATGACCCTCGGGATGGCCTCGCTAACGAGTGCCTCAGTAAGGATTTGTAAATCCTTACAGTCCCTTCATACCTTAGGTTTCATTTGGTTTCACTTCACTATATGAAAGTCAATTATTTTGTAGCAGGCCAACGTGAGCAGAGGTCAGACCTTACATATACAGTTCATGATTTCTGGTTCAGGCCGGTTTCCCAGTGTGAAGCGGTTTTCGAAGTATACCACTTTCCACCAGGAATTTCAGCACCGAAGGGCCTGGGGCGTTTCATCAAGCACACCTGCAACCTCGTTGTTAGCGATTTTCTTTCTGAAAGTTTGAAAACATGAATTCAAGCACGTTTCTGTGACGAAGTAATTTTACCCCTGTTCAATGCAGAGTGCATTGCCCATATGGCAAGCGGGCGCATGTATGCTAATGAGCGAAAGCGACCATCCGTGTCCCACCCCTCAGGGGTCTGAAACCAGTACCTGCCCATGTTTGAAGTCAGAGGGAGGAGGAAAAGGTGAGGAATGCACCTACCATGCCAAAAAAACCTCGAACCTCATCATGTGTGGACATTGCTTGTCACAACACATCCCACCAATTGCACAGCGCAGCATAGCTCATACTACCAACCATACCATGCAATGCAACTCACCCTAGCTCATCCCAGCCCGCCTGGTGAATGCCCTGTGCCGTGCGAAAGGCCTGTGAGTGCATCCCCTGCAGGTCCCAGGAACAGGAGTGGTGGGAGGGGGGTGTGGGGTGAGGACACAGACATGTACAACATGCCGTCAACTAGCATCATGCACAACATGCCGTCAACTAGCACATGCATGTAAGCGTCGCTCTCATGCCATAAAGTGGATATGATTTGGTGAAAGGCGGCTTGAAGACATGTCATGCCATGGCAGACCATTCCGTGCCATACCATTCCATTCCATGGCATGAGCAAGTTGACGGCATGTTGTGCATCAAAACAAGCCAAGTTGCGAATGGTGCATGAGTGAAGCATGACCATGGTGCATGGTGCATGTTGCATGCTGCATGGTGCATGTGAAAGGAGTCTTTGGGGGGGCTGTGAAAGGAGTCTTTGGGGGGGCTGTGAAAGGAGTCGACGCTTTTTATGATGGTATGGTGCAGTCTCACCTCGTAGATCATTGTGGCAGCCAATCCGTACGTGACACCTGTCCACACCTCCCGCGATTGCAAGCACGTGTCATCCACCTGGCAGAGTACCCAAGTGAGGAGGAGAGTGAGGAGGGAGTGAGGAGCGCAGTGAGGAGGGTGAGGAACAGAGTGAGGAGAAGAGCGAAGACGAGAGAATGGGGCATGAAGATGCCACCCGTTCAGATCCCACCTGCCCAGATCCCACCCGCCCAGATCCCACCTGCCCAGATCCCACCTGCCCAGATCCCACCTGCCCAGACCCCCACCTGGCCGTTGGGTCGCATGCCATTGACGGCCCCCATGCTGCCCCCCTCCAGCCGCATCACATTGTACCTGATGGTGCCATGGCCATCACACATGGGGCATGGGGTATAGGGCATAGGGCATGGGGCATGGGGCATAGGGCATAGGGCGTATGGGGCATGGGTCATGGGTCATAGTTCGGAGCGTGGCCAGAAAGAGCGATCATCTCCAGTCAGACAGCGCGAAAAGTGATCAGTCACCACAGCAATTACTGCCTGTTTCACAATATAATTATACATACACTCCACACCCAGAGTATCATGTACATTACAATTTACACCCTTCCTCGAGAATCATTAACGATCCGCGAAAGCGTAAAACCGCCCACACAAAACGTTACACCGATGCCAACAACCCTCAAACCAGTGTCACATGCACTGCTCATGGAAAAAAAAAAGACATTGCATAAGTCCCCACCCCCTCACTCCAACACTATCCGCATGCCACACTCACTCAAAGATCATCTGGAGAGCCTTGCATGCCATGGCTGAGTCAAAGAGCGGCGGCAGGCCACAGCTCCACAGGTACCTGCAAGAGGGGGAGTGAGGGTGTACGGGAGGGATTATGAGGAGGCACATAATCCTTCCTTCCTCTCTTTGAACAGGGGCTGCAAATGAGTCAAAGAGGGGGGGCACGGCCACAGCTCCTCAGGTAACTGGCTCCGCACATGGGGAGGGGTGTGGGGTTGGGGAGAGACGCAGGGGCGGAGAGAGGAAGGAAGTGAGGCTCGACCACTCAAGCCCACGAGTGCCCTGCCCACTGCTCAACCCACCATCTCCCCTCCCCCCTGCACCTACCGCTACCCATCCCTATGCACCCACCAGTATCCCCCCGCTCACCCCTGCACGCACCACTGGCCTGCGAGTTGATCCGCGTGAATGGAGTTGCTGTTGCTGCTGCTGCCGCTGTCGTAGTTGAAGTACCTGCGAGGTGGAGGCCAGGGGCAACGCAGGGGTGCATTGGGTGGAGAGGCGCGCATGGGTCAGACGCGGGAGAGAGAGGTGTGAACGAGGGGGTGAGGTGGAAAGGGGAGGAGGGCGAGGGGGAGAGGATGCAGCCAGGGGGAGATGGAGCGAGGGGGGGGAAGGGGTGACAGCGAGAAGGGGCGAGGCCGAGAGGGGTTGAGAGCGGTAGGGGATGTGGGTGCGAGTAGGGGATGTAGGGGATGTCTCCCTACATGTGAATACGGACATGTGTGTGTGTGTGTGTGTGTACGCACCTGCCATTCCAGAGCTTGGCAACAAACGCCTCCCTGCCCTGCTAGGCAGGACACACATGGGCACAGGGGGCGCATTGTGGGGTTGTGAGGAAACAAGGGGGAGAAGCAGAGACAAGGGGGAGAAGCAGAGACACAAGGAGAAGCAGAGACACAAGGAGAACAGGCAGAGTGGGGCAGAGGAAAGAGCGACGGGGGGGGGGGGGGGGGGGGGGGGTTGGCGTGGCGTGGATAGCACTGTCCAACAAGCGGGGTTGGTGGCCCCGTCCCTCTTTCCTCGCACTGTGCGGCACAGGTGCAGCAGCAAGCGGCTGGCATGGAAAAGCACAAGGTGTTGTGTGATGTGAACGCACGGAGGCAGCTGGTAAGAGGTCATGCCCACCCCCCCCCACATAACCTCCTCCCAGCCAGAAACCACACGTCCGTCTCTGCCTCAGCCCATCTCGTCCCCTGATCCCTCGCTTGCATCCCTCCCTCCGTCCCCCTTTCCGCCTCTGTTCTGTTCCCTGCTAAACACTCACCCGCTCACACTGCCGTCGCCAGTACTGGGCGTACTTGGCCTCGCCCACTGCATCCGCCATGGCTGCTCCTGCCTGCAGCGCTGCCAGCCACAGGCCGCCACAGTACGCACTCACTCCGTGCACCGGCCTGGCGAGAAGATTGGAAACGAAAAAGAGATAAAAAAAGAGAGGAAATAACGTGGAATTTGATTTTCCACTGCTATGCAGGCTGCAACAGAGACGAATTTTGAGGCGCCTGAAAGGCTGCCACAGCGCCGTGCTGATCAAAAGGGCCCACGCAGAGACTGTTGAGACGTTGACACATGGCACTTGCGCGACGGCGAGGCTACATTGCTCAGTCGACTCAAACAACGGGGCTACAGGTTGCTGAAACAAGCTGTTGTTGGCCTGTACGAGGTGCTTCACGTTATTCGCCCATCCAGCTGTAGCAGGACACGGATGTAGCAGGGTGGCGCCACAGCATCACCCCCTTGCAGCACCCACCCCCCGTGCAGCACCCACCCCCCGTGCAGCACTCACCCCCCGTGCAGCACTCACCCCCCGTGCACCACTCACCCCCCGTGCACCACTCACCCCCCGTGCACCACTCACCCCCCGTGCACCACTCACCCCCCGTGCAGCACTCACCCCCCGTGCACCACTCACCCCCCGTGCAGCACTCACCCCCCGTGCACCACTCACCCCCCGTGCAGCACTCACCCCCCGTGCAGCACTCACCCCCGGTGCAGCACTCACCCCCCGTGCAGCACTCACCCCCGTGCACCACTCACCCCCGTGCACCACTCACTCTCTCGCACTGCCTCTGCCTGCAGCACTGCTAGCACCATGCGATACCACACACCACGCACCAGTTATCGTAGGTCTGGTCGGGGAACCCGTCGTTCTCTATGAGCCCGTCGTCATCACGGTCAAACTTCTCCACCGTATCCATTGCCGCCACCACCGCCGCCCACACCGCCCTGCAGAACCGCACGTTGCCCGTCGCCCTGTAGTCCCGACACACCTGGTTGAGGGGGTTGGAAAGGGCGGGAACACAGAGACACATTCACTGAAGTGCACTGAACAAATTCGCTGAACAAATTTGTTCCCCACCAGCATGCAGCACGAACTTGCCGTAAAGACCCTTCCACTGTACAGTGTCGTGGTTTCCGTAGGTGTATAACACGGATTCTAAGGACAGTACAACACATCTGCAGTTGAGATCTTTCCACTGTGCGATGTCATGGATGTTGTATGCATTGGGGAAGACCCAAGGGTCGTGGCAGCCCAGGTCGGAACACAGGAGGGAGAGCACAGTGGGAAGGCGAGGCGAGTACACACCTGCAAAACAAACTTGCAGTTCAAATCCTTCCACTGTGCGGTGTCATGGATGTTGTATGCGTTGGGAAAGACCCACGGGTCATGGCACCCCAGGTCGTGCGGCACACTGCCGCGCGTCTTGTTCACCCCCGATGCCCCGTCTGCTAGAAACCTCGTCATGCGCCGTTGCTGTGGGGGGAAAGATGGGAGAGGGGAGGGAGAGTGGCCGAATCAAAGGAGGGAGAAAAGGTGGAGGAATGGAGAGGGGGCATGTGGTGACGTTGAGGGGAGATGGTGGTGTTTGAGTGACAGTCAACTGGTGCAGACCCTTCGAACAGATAAGGAAGCCAAACGGAGGAGTCAGTATGTCTGGAAAGGAGAGTTGGCAGGTAGAGGCACCTGCAGCAGCGTGCTAACAGCGAAGTCCCGTTGCAGGCTGAGCTCGAGCAGCGGGAAGAGGGCGAGCAGCGCAAAGGACGCATAGAAATGCACGTCGTAGCTGGTGGTGGTGCGGGTGCGTGGGGCGAAAGGGGAAGACGGAGGGGTCAGAGGAGGGGAAAGGGGAGGGGGAAGGGGGAGGGTTAAGGGAGGTTGCAGGGCAGGAGCATGACTGAGAGAAAATTGAGCTCAAGCACCAGGCTGTAATGAAAAGGTGGTGCATGTAGCACACAGAGCCCAAAGTGACATGACACACTCACGTGTTCCACATGATATACTCAAGCCCCTCCAGGTAAACAAACTGTCCCACATTTTCCTCCTCCTCCCCCTCCCCCCCCCCCCTCCCCCTCCACCCCCTCTCTCCCCTCCCCATCTCCTCTCACCCCCGTACCACCTTCCCCTCTACCCTGCGCCAGCAGCTGCACGCCAGAGCACAGGCGCCAGCTGTAGTGCTCGTGCGGCCCCAGAGGGCCCCCTGCCAGCCGCCCCGCCATGGGGGCTGGTAAGTCCAGCGCCTTCTCGTGTGGGGTGAGCGGTGGGGGCGAGTGGGAGGAGGGTTGCTGGGTTGATGCGAGGGAGAGGGACGGGCGGGGCGGTGGTGTGAGGGAGGTGCGGGGTTGTGGTGGGGTGGATGAGAGGGAGGAGGGAGAGGGAGCGGAGGCGGAAGTCGTGTCGCTGCTTCGACTTGCAGACTGTGGTGTGTCCGCATTGTTGCTGCTGCTTCTGGTGGATGCCCCTTCTTGAAGCGCCTCGAAAACAGCTTCTGCACCTTGTGCGCCACTTGACCCTCTCTCTCCAGCTGCTGATGTTGCCCCACCCACACCACTGCGTGTTGAATCCAGCACCATAGAGCCAACACCATAGTTCGTCCTCCCCTCTCCTCCCCCCTCCCTTTCCGCGTCCTCCTCTTCCTCCTGTCGCTCCGATATCCTCCCAATAGACCCCACAGCCAACCCAGCGTCATTCAATGAGGATCCGGACCGCAGGTCCCGCTTACCTGCCTGAAAATCCACCAGCGGACTTTGGGCAGCAAAATCAGCCTCATTCAGTGACAACCCGGATCGCAGATCTCGCTGACCTACCTGAGAATTCACCTGAGGACTTTGGGATAGGATACTGGAAAGAGAAGGGCCGAAAACAGGCGGAGTGAGGGACGACGACGCAGACAGGCCACCACCGGAAGCAACACCAGCAGCAGGCTTTCTTGTGGGGAGAGGCATGGGGGAGGCGGGGAAGAGGCCAATGGCCATGTTGCTGAACAAGGTGGAGGTACTCGAGAGCAGGCGGGCAGGGGTAATGGGTGCAGAGGAGGCTCGTGGCAGGGCGGACGCGGGCAGTGAGAGCGAGTCCAGGGGGAGGAGGTTCTTGGGCAGGCTGGGGGGGAGGGGTGCCCTGCCTGGGATCATGGGAGGCTTGTTCCAGGGGCCGGGGAGGGGCGTGGGGGAGAAGGGTGAGGGAGGGGAGACGTCGGGTGGCTGATGAGTCGTGTCTTCGCCTGTGGCTGCTGCGGGTGCTGGTGGTGGTGGTGATGGCGGTGCTGCTGCTGCTGCTCCGGCTGGAATTCGGGAAGATGGAGCAGGGTTGACCGCCTTGCCTGGATCATTCTTGATCGCTGCGAGGAAATTGGGGGGAAGAGCAAGCAGGAGCAGGGGGAGCACAAGGGGAGGGCAAGGGACAGAGGGGAAGGGGTGTAAGGCGAGTATGGGTTAAGAGATTGGTGGGAACACGCAGAGGGAGGGGGAGGGGATGTCGGAGGAGGAAGAGCGTTTGAGTCTGGGGAAGATAGGAGGAGGGTGAAGCAGAGAGGTGAGAGCAAGAACGGAGATGTGTGAGGCGTGAAAACACAGCAGAGAGCATGCAGCGGCGCATGTAGCATCAAGGGCACGAAGCCAGGAGAATGGGGCAGTGTGGGAGGAGTACGGTGCAAAAGAGTCGGTGTACAGGGGAGGAGTGCAAGGCTAGGGTGTGGCGTACAGGGCAAGGGCATGAGGAGGACAGAGCGAGCGAGGGAGTGGCAGGGGTCTTGCGGCTTGAGCCACTCGTGCTGCTCCCTCTCCTCCAGCCGTGGCCCTCCGTCTGTCGGGGGCGGGAGGAAGGTGTGGGGGGGGAAGTGCACGGGGAATGGCAACGACACCTTGGAGGTGATTGGCGTTGGGAGATGATGCAGAGGGAAGCAGGAGCAATGTGAGCACGGATGAACACTTTGATGTACAGAAGCTATCCAGGACTCCTATGTACCAATCACGTGCCCTCACCCGGCCACAGCTCGCCATTTCCCGCCCACGACCCATCCTTACCCGTCCACAGCTCGCCATTTCCCGCCCACGACCCATCCTTACCCGTCCACACGGTGCCCCCGGCAGTGAGGAAGTAGAGCTCGTTGAAGAGTGTCACTCGGTACCTGGGAGGGAGGAGAGAGTGTGTGCGGGGTCAGGGTGCGCGAGGAGGTCGGACAGGAAATGAGGCAGGGCTTCGTGGTGCATACTACTCAGGCAGTGAGGAAGTAGAGCTCGTTGAAGAGTGTCACTCGGTACCTGGGAGGGAGGAGAGAGTGTGTGTGCGCAGGGGGTGGGGGGCGGGCAGGAGGAGAGGGGTCGGAAAGGAGGTGAGGCAGGGCTTATGGTGCATGGATTCCTGTCAGGCAGAGAGGAGGTAGAGCTCGTTGAAGAGCGTCACTCGGTACCTGTGAGGGCGTTGGACAGGTGGTGCAGGAGTAGAGCAGGAGGGCAGGTTGGAAGGGCAGGTTGGAAGGGCAGTGGAGCAGAATCACAGTGGTGGAGATATGGAGGAGGAGAGAGAGATTACAAGAGGAATGCAGTACAGTTTAGAGGAGAGACACCGAGTGGCTGGGAGTTGCACACATGTGGTGGATGCACAGGAAGGGGAACAGCCACGCGCATACCATTCAGGCAGTGAGTCGTCCTGCAGAATGGGTCGCTGCCATGCATCAATGGCCGCCTCCCAGTTGCTGTACCCTGCCATCCATGGCGCAAGCAATCGGCAGGGAGCATTGACCTCTTTGCGCAGTTGACATGGAGCCATGACCCCAATGCGCTCACGCTCACGCTCACGCTCACGCTCAGGCTCAGGCTCAGGCTCAGGCTCAGGCTCAGGCTCAGGCTCAGGCTCAGGCTCAGGCTCAGGCTCAGGCTCAGGCTCAGGTGCAGGCTCAGGCTCAGGCTCAGGCTCAGGCTCAGGCTCAGGCTCAGGCTCAGGCTCAGGCTCAGGCTCAGGCTCAGGCTCAGGCTCAGGCTCAGGCTCAGGCTCAGGTGCAGGCTCAGGCTCAGGCTCAGGCTCAGGCTCAGGCTCAGGCTCAGGCTCAGGCTCAGGCTCAGGCTCAGGCTCAGACTCAGGCTCAGACTCAGGCTCAGGCTCAGGCTCAGGCTCAGACTCAGGCTCAGGCTCAGGCTCAGGCTCAGGCTCAGGCTCAGGCTCAGGCTCAGGCTCAGGCTCAGGCTCAGACTCAGGCTCAGGCTCAGGCTCAGGCTCAGGCTCAGGCTCAGGCTCAGGCTCAGACTCAGGCTCAGGCTCAGGCTCAGGCTCAGGCTCAGGCTCAGGCTCAGGCTCAGGCTCAGGCTCAGGCTCAGGCTCAGGCTCAGACTCAGGCTCAGGCTCAGGCTCAGGCTCAGGCTCAGGCTCAGGCTCAGGCTCAGGCTCAGGCTCAGGCTCAGGCTCAGCACCATCCATTGCCCATGTTCCAAAGACGCTCAAAAGATGTTGAAGGCATTGGCATTACAGGCTGAAACAAAAGAGAAGCTGGGATCACGCAACACTCTCTCCCAAACATGCCTCCACTCCGCTTCACCGTGACTCACCCAAGAGAGCGTCTCGGGCCAGCAGGTGGGCTGCCGCTCCATGGTGCCCGTAGAACCGCGTGTAGCGCCTGCCATGCCATGCGCGCACGGGGGACAGCGTAGCGCACGGTGGATGCAAAACACGAAGGTGAGGGGAAGAGGGTACGTTGAGGAGTCTATCAGAGCAAAGGACCACACCAGACCTGAGATGGTAGTTGCCTCTCGCCTCCATAGGTCTCACACCGCTAGGTCTCACCCACCGAGGCTCACCGCCCTACATGCCACCCTTCCCAAGAAAAGCCCGTCAGGGGTGGCGCAACACCCACCTGAGGTAGTGGCTATCCGGGTTGAAGCGCGCAACAGGCACGTCCCAGCACAGCGTGAAGTCCACGTGGCGAGTGGCTCCAGGCGCCACCGACACTGACGCTGCCACTGCTGCCCCGATGGCCGTGCCGGGGAACGAGGGGTGCGATGCCAGGGCTGACTCGTGGTGGGGGGGGAAGGTGCCGGTCTGTGGTCAAGACAGGGGAACAGTGGGGGTGGTTGGAGGTGTTGGGAGGGAGAGGTATGGAGAGAGTGAGGCAGTGACGGCTGCTGATGGCAGTGTCAGGGCTGACAGTTAAAGGGATGGAATGGATTGGATGGCCTGTGGTGGGTGCGATGGAGGAGAGACGTAGAAATGGAAAAGGTGAGGTGAACATGGGTGGGACAATGAGGTCGATGCATCGGCCTGAGGAAACAAGTATGAGGTGAATTGTACCAGAGAAACACACCTTCTCAAGGTGCTGCCACATGTCAGCAGCTGATAGGCCCTTGCAGGGGCCTGAGAGGACGAAGTGCGGGCAAACAGACACCCGAACTTCGTCAGTCCCGCTGTCAGCAATCCCATTTGTTGAGTCAGCAGCTCTGCAAGCTGGGTCAGCGATCCCGTTGGCTGAGTCAGCAGCGATGGGAGAGGACATAGTTGCAGAGGTGGCAGAGGGAGGAGCAGTGTTGGTGGCGCCACTCCCCCCTCGTGCTGCAATGGCTAGAGTCACTGGGCCGCCCACTTTGGAGGACCTGCATGCATGCAGTGGAGATGCGGCAGAGGAGAGGCAGCAGGAGAGCGTAAGAGAGGGAGCATTTGTTAGAAGTTGGGCTTTTGTAGAGTGAGGCATGAGCATAAGGGGGTGTGTGGATCAATGGGATGAGAGGCATGCATGGTGGTGGATGGATCCGACCTGTGCTGCAGTTTCACGCCTTTGATGCCCCTGTCCATCCTGACACGCACAAACACCACAAGCATTGTCAGCAGGATGAAAGAGGGGAAATGAGAGTTATGGCACCAAGGCAGGTGGTGCAGCAAAGCGAGGCACACGTGGAAAGGATGTGCAGGCAGTTGGTGCGATGGTGGATCCATGGTTGACGGTTGCTTGGTGTTATGTTGTTCTCACTCAAAGGCAGTGTTGAGATGGCCGCCGGTTGCTGCAGAGTCCCCCCCTATGGAGTTCTGCAACGTCACAAGGGGGCAAAGGATTGAAGCAGGAGATGATGATGGGTTGGCTGGAGCAGAAGAGAAGGGATGGGAAGGAGTGAGTGTGCAGTGCGGTGTAGTGCGGTGGTGCGTGCACATGGATGAATCAGCTTCCACACAATGCTAGCCAGTCCATGCGCATGCTAAACATTTTGTGCGGTGTCATATGCACAGACTAGGAGAGCTACGAGGCGGATGGACTTGAGAGAAACGAGGCGGTAATGCAGCACGATGGTACAGCACGATGGTACAGCAAGCAGGTGAGGCAGCACGATGGTACAGCAAGCAGGTGAGGCAGCACGATGGTACAGCAAGCAGGTGAGGCAGCACGATGGTACAGCAAGCAGGTGAGGCAGCACGATGGTACAGCAAGCAGGTGAGGCAGCACGATGGTACAGCAAGCAGGTGAGGCAGCACGATGGTACAGCAAGCAGGTGAGGCAGCACGATGGTACAGCAAGCAGGTGAGGCAGGGCAAGCAAGGGGGGACTCACTGCAAGGGAGAAGACGAGTGTGACCTCAGCTGCTGTCGTGCCCGTGTTAGCTACCTGGTCAAATGGGCAACGCAGGAGCATTAGTGCACATGGTGAGCACAGGGCCATGCCCAAAACAAACAAAGAGTGCAAGCAATGCGATCCAGATGACGAGAACGAGGGTATGAAGAGAGAAGAACAATTTAAGTTGTAAGGGGAAGAGGCGGGAACGGGAAGGAGAAAGGGGCGGGAGGTGTGGGCTTACAGTGAAAGCGAAGACAGAGGAGGGGAGGGAGGACTCCTGGTAGTTGTTGGGTATAAAGGGAGAGACCTGGCGACACGAGATGGTCATCTCAGGGTCTGGCTCTGCACGCACAGGGAAGCACACACGGGCAGGCAGCGCACACCCGCAGGCGCACATACAAACGCAGGCAGCAGATTCATCATACACCACACAAGCTCAGCTCCACACGCGGATGAGAATGAAAGAGAGTGCCGTCAGCAGCATCAGCGCGTCGCAACACAGGGACCACCTTGCATGCCCAGTTGCACCATGAACCATACACACGCAGGCACGCTATGCAAGGCACTATGTACGTACTTCCGCGTCCCACCCACCCAAGTGTATATACAACAAACATGACATGCTGTCTCCACCAGATAGCTACCTTGATAGACGGTCCAGGCGCGGGGAAAGAGAGCATAGTAGGTGCTGCGCGAGCCATCCATGTTCCAACCCCACGCATCGATCCCCGACCCACTCGCCTTCCTCCGCACGCCCTTGGGCACGCCAGGGTAAAGCACAGAGGAGAACTTGAGGGGTTGGTCTGCTGGGCTCTCTGCCTGCCTCGTGATGAACACCTGCAGAGGCAGCGCCACGGAACGAACTGGACAAACGGTTGCAGATGGAGGGACCTCAAACGCCCTTGGGTTGGGCACGCCAGGGTAGAGCACGGACGAGAACTTGAGAGGGGCTGGTCCACTGCAAGCTAAGCAAAGTGAGAGACCTGATGTGATGTAGCTGTTGTAACATAACGAATATGCAGAGCATTCAGAGGCCGGGTGAAGGGAGGGACGATAGGGAGGGCTAACAGCGAAGTGGTTGACGTTCACGGGTGAAGTGGTATTCATTAATTAGTGTAGTTGCTGTGACTTTAGAGGGGGCGAAGGAGATGAGAGGACTCACGGAGAACTGATCGGCCTCCACGGGGGCGTCCTCGCACTGCCCCGCTGCAAACTGCCATCGGTTGAACTCCCCCTGGAACCCCCGGCCAATGCTGCACGCCCTGCACACATGCAGCAAGACGCAGAGGGGTGGGCAGCAGGCCGCAGGGAAGAGGGCGGAGGGCGGAGAGGGAGACAAGCAGTGCCAGGTGAACCATGAACACAGAGCAGGGCAGAGCAGGCATGATGGTGGAGGGCAGATAGGTGGAGGGCAGATAGGTGGAGGGCAGATAGGTGGACGAGCGTGGGCAGGCAGGTGAGAGGGGAAGGGAGCTGGGGTTACGAATGGCCATGCATTGTGAAGCCCCTAGAGGCAGGTGGGCTTACCCGATGCCTCCTAAAGGCACCCCGTGGCATGCTGATGGCTGTGTTTCACGCGAGAAAGGGTCAATCACTGGCACCTGCAGGGGCATGGGCGTGGGGGAAGCACGAGGCACAGCCGGGGAATGGGAATGGCTCACCATGCATGAGGCCGAGGCATGTCAGTGCGTCTGCCTGGGACACTGCATGAGATGACAGTGACGAAACAAGAGCACATCCCATGCCAGAGGCTATGTTCCACATCACAGAGCAGTATGTAGGAGCATCATGTGTCGTCATGGCTCATGTGCGTAGCAGATACCATGCACTCACCCGGCCCTGGGACTTCTCCCTCTGGTTGTGCGACCACAGCCGCACCCCCAGCGGCAGCTGCACGTGAGAAGAGGGCAGGGCGGAGCATGATGGGGGGTTTGCAGCAGAGAGGAAGAGGGATTAAAAGTCAACTCTTTTTGGCATTGGCTCGATATAGTGAGCGTTTGAGACGATCTGCATCCTGCATTCATTCGTGTGATGACATGCCAGATAAGCAACAAGCACCAACAACTCCACCGCAACACCACGACACCCATAGAACCACACGCAGCACGCACGTTGCGCAGGGCCTCAGAGAAGGTGACGGAGAACTCCTCGAGGGGCTTCTGGGATGCATTTTTCTCTAAACAGCACGGCAGCACTGCATGCAAGCACATGCATCACATCTCATGCTCTTCATCATACGTATCCCACCAACCACGGCAGCACAGCACGCACGCTGCGCAGGACCTCAGAGAAGGTGACGGAGAACTGCTTAAGGCTCATGACATGCACTATTCCTACAACACAGCACTGCATGCACATGCACAGCAGCCACAGCACCACACGAAGCACGCACGCTGCGCAGGGCCTCAGAGAAGGTGACGGAGAACTGCTTAAGGCTCATGACATGCACTATTCCTACAACACAGCACTGCATGCACATGCACAGCAGCCACAGCACCACACGAAGCACGCACGTTGCGCAGGGCCTCAGAGAAGGTGACGGAGAACTCCTTGAGGGGCGCCGCATGCGCGTCCAGCCCCCGCACCCACGCCACCTCGGGCGGCGCTGCTGCTGTGCCCGCCAGCTGGGCGCGCGGAGAGGGGGGGAAAACGGCAGGGCATCGGGGTGGGAACGGAGTGGGCAGGGACGGCGGGAGGAGCAGGGCAATGGAGGTGGGAGGAGTGGGTGTGGAGGGCGGGGAGAGATGCAAGTGAGGATCTCAGAAGAGGGAGTGGTGGAGTGGACTATAAGGGATGGGAGAGGGCACGGGTGACATGTGGGAGGGTGAGTTGTGACACTAACGGGGAGGGGGCGATGGATAACTGAGAGGAAGGTGAACGAACGATCAAGCGAGAAGGGACGTGCAAGGGCTGATATAGGGCTGATCTAAACGCGAGTACGGGTGGCATGTCAGCGGCTGGGTGGTACCAGAGAAGCTCCGGGGAAGCGGGAGAAGGTGACTGACGATCGCAGCTTCGTCCGTTGATCCTCCGGGGAACACTCCCCCGCCGCAACTGCCGCTGCTGTTGCTGCTGCTGCTGCTGTGGGGGAGTCAGGTGACGCACCGCAGGCCCACCCCGCGCTCCTGCAGATGGCGGACAGCATATTGCCGCTGCAGAACCTGGGGGGAGTGACAGGGGGGAGCGGTGACGAGGGGGGAGGGGAGAATGGGGGGTGGTCAGGCACCTCAGAACTCGGCGGACAGCATGTTGCCGCTGCAGAACCAGGGGGGAGCCGCTGGGGATTTACAGGCACCGTCAGAATATGGCAGAGAGAATGCCGGCGCTGCAGAGAGTATGCTGGCGTTTCTAATGCTCCGCCTTGCGTGCTGGAAAATTTGACGTAGACGGAGAGAACAAGTCGTTAGAGCCGTGCACCTCGTGAGCGTTGTATGAATCATCCAAGCCTCCTTTATGAAAAAGCCTGCAGGAAATAGCTGCATCCGTCTAAATTCTTTGAACCATTCTCGTCAAACACCCCTTACATTGTCAACACGAAGACGTCGACAGGAAATCACTGTGAGCCGTTGATCTAATGGGCATCGCTGATGGCACAACTCGTGGTGTCGGGTTGGCGACAATTGCTGCTGGCGGTAACTGTTCAATGATGCGATACGATACGAATGCGATGCAGACGTCAGACTAAGCGTTGCGGAGCGATCATCACGCATCAACGCAAGGTAAACAACCTCGGCATCTCTTCGTCGTTTCTCAGGGAATTATGCCTCGCATTCATGATGGGATGTAAACAATGCACTGACAGGACACTGTCAGGAACGGCACGAGCAGGACGGTCTAAATTCGTGACCCTTCCAACAAGCTAAGCCACGAAGATAGAGGTCTAAACGACATGATCGATTTCGGGATAGGAGTCCCCTAAAGGCCACACAGAAACACAACATCACCCTTCCTAAGCAAAGACCCCACTGTGATCATTGAGATTGGCGGGAAAACAAAAATCCTCGTCATTGTTTTGCTCGATTGCAGTCGGCCTCTGACATGACGCGAGCAGGACATAATGGACACTGAGTAACACTCCCAGAAGCATGAACTTAGGTAATTGGCTAGCGTCAAGATTTTCCATAAGAATCACTGCATAAAAAACATCTACCAAATGATCTTTCTATGGAAGAAGGCCTAGGAAGCACATGTTGAATTCTAGAGGTTGTCATCAAAGGTTAAGAAACTTAATTATACCTACTTTCTGTGCAGCAACCTTACAGCTGGGTGGGATGCTACTTCACTGAACTTCAGGGCTGGGCCTCATCCATCACACTGAAATAAGATAGGTCAAAACAATCTTACATTGACAACCCTAAACGTTGCTTTGGGTGATCAAAATCACTGTCAAGTTGATCGTGATGATTCTAGAGCTTGGCTACAAAGGGGCTTCTAAGGGACAGCACGTGAGCCAACATGTGCTCCCCATACACTTCCAACATCTAAGGTGCCTGTGTGGTAGACGTGCATGCAACATCCACACGCGCATGCACATGCACACACACATGCTTGAAAAGTGAGAGCGTTAGCAATAGAGGTAAGCATGCTATGATAGCTTTTATGCCAACATTCCTGCAGATATGATAGCAATGCAGTCCCCTTTGTGCACTAATCCCCCTCTGCTACGTGACTCATTGTGTGTGTGCCTACCAGATAGCCTGCCCCTGTGACTTCACCATGTCACTTGCTGTGGCTGCAGGAGCACACCAGGCAGAAGGCTTTGAGCTCTCTGTCAGTCGTGCGGTTCATGCGCACGGCAGATACGCCGCCACACACCAGAGCATCTCTCACACACCCCGTTCTCTCCTCCTCACATCCGCCCCTCATGGGCAGCAAGTTCTGCAGCAGAGACATGATTTCCTGGAAGGAAAGAGGGGAGTCGCGGAAAGCCAACAGAAAAAGGAAAGATCTGAGAGCTTTGAGTCGTCCATCTCACACACCCTGCTGCCCCTCCCCACTCTCTCCCTCACAACCACCCCTCATGTCCAGCTGGTTCAGCAGCAGCGACATGGTTACCTGAAACTTCACCAGACACTTGAGACTTCAGCTGGTATTTCACCAGAGGTCTCACCTGGAACCCAAGGTGCACGCCGAACAGAATATCCCTGAGATCCACCTGACAGAACACCTGAAGACACACCTGAGAGCAAGATCTGCTCCAGCAAGCGCCGCATCTCCCCTTCGCCCAGCGACCGGGTCTGCGTGGGTCGCGTGCGCACGCGCGGCTGCGCCTCGAGAACCACCTCGTTTGGACCCACGAGATCCTGCACAAGCATTTCGCGCAAGTTTCCGCCGGTCTCCTCTTCCCCGATCTCGCGGATCTTACAGACGGCTCGGATTCGCCTGAGGCTTCGCTTGCACGGCTCGCGGCGGAAACGGCTACACGGTGAGTGGGGGGCGAGTTACTAGGGAAATTTCGCGTGCTTCCCGTTCGGAGGAACCGCGTGGAATAAATTCATGCGGGAAAGACTGTCGCGCGTGAGTTCTACGCGGCGCGGCTATTCGATGGCCCTCCAGTTGCTGCGACGATCGCGGTTGGCGCGGAACTGAACATTCGACCGCACGATAGCGAGTTCCTCGCATGCGATTCGGCCAATCGACTCGCATGTGCCCCACGCCGGTCGCATGAGTCGCCAGGGGATCGCAACTGGCGGGATCGACGCGGTGGTGCGATGCGGCAGCGGGGTAACTCGCGATACCATCATCTGACTTGCGAAGAGAGGTTAGCGCAGAATGAGGGTAGGGTAAGGGCGCCGTTCGCAGAAAAGGTAGATTAGCAATAGAACACGTGGGATATTGACCATCATCGAGAAACGAATAACGAAGGTCGGCACAGGAAGTCGGTACAAGTGATAATTACGATTAACTTGATTCCCTTGTAGAGCAGGCCATTGGAGTGCCTAGTTCTGCAAGCGATAAAAAAATGATATTACACCTTTTAAGAAAAACATATCTCCGTTCTTGTATTGCTTCCTACTACTCAACACCATTAGAGACTTAAGGCCCGAGGTCAGCATGGTAATTTTTCAAGTTATGTGGGGTTGAAACAGTTAGGCGAAAACCTGAAAATCGTGAATGACGAAAATGTGTGTGGGGCGAAACCGAATTCAGGAGGCGGGAAAAGTAGTCTTCGCCACGATACTATGCGACAGCTGTCCCCGAGGATATGGGAGGGCCGAACGACCCAGTGTGCGACAGAGCACTGCTCCCGCCCCAGCACTAGGGGGGCACACTGCGTTTCTCTTGGGGTTGAAATGGTGGGGAACGCGAAACTCACGTGAGTAAGAGTGAGGCAGTACACTGAACAATATTTCCTGTGATTACTAATCGACTAAAGTATTTGGATAAGTTTGAGACTTCACTTCAGAATAACATTAAAATTCAAGTGCTGAATTGCCATAGAAAAGAAAATTGTGAATCATGGAAATTAAATATCAAGAAACACATTAGCAATACATTTCCAAGCGTACACTCTCAAGCTCAGATCCCGCAACTCATAAGGGTCTCGGCCGGCCACATAGGAACATGTCGTGCCTTTCCCTGCACCAATCTGCACTCCCCCGGCCCACCGCAGCGCAGACCAGCCTTGCCCCACCACACATGTCCTGACGTGCGCTGCCGCCAGCATCCTGCCGCACATCCTGCTGACATTGCCAATCTCCATATTTTTGCCACGGCCCCTGCCTGCCTTCACCCTGTGCTTGCCATTTTGCCTCCCTCCCACGCCACTCCGCACTGACCATGCCGCACAACACACTCCCTTACCCTTGCCCCATGATCCACCAGTTCGAATCCTTGCCTGCACAGTGCTGGCTGCTAGGCAAAGCGGCTCCCAATCCCTCCGTACTTGCAGGGGCGGGGAACAGAGAGGGCACGGCCTCATAGGGCGCAGATCAGCAGAGGGTATGGACCAGCAGGGGAGGCACGTATAGAAAAAGACGTGGTTTGGGAGAGGTGGGATGGAAGGCGTGGACAGCAAGCGGCAGGCACAAGGCAGCACGTGCACCTTCCGGGCACACCTGCGCGCGGATGAGAAGGGAAGGTGGTAAGGTGGGCAAGCGGTAAGGTCGGCAGGCGGGAAGGTGTGCGAGGGTGAAGGAATAAGAACAGAGGGTGGGGAGACACAGGGAAAAGGGACAAGGAAACGTGTAACACGGAGACACGGAAGGGGACGGGGGGAAGCAGGGAACGGGATGGGGGGAAGCAGGGAAGGGGGTGGGGGGAAGCAGGGAAGGGGATGGGAAGAAGCAGGGAAGGGGATGGGGGGAAGCAGGGAAGGGGATGGGAAGAAGCAGGGCAGGGGGTGGGGAGAAGCAGGGAATGGGATGAGGGGAAGCAGGGCAGAGGGTGGGGGGGAGCAGGGAAGGGGATGGGGGGGAGCAGGGCAGAGGGTGGAAGGAATCAGGGCAAAGGGGGAAGCAGGGCTGGTGGGAGAACGGGTGGCTGGGAAAAACAGAGACAGGGGGCAACAATTTGGGGGAAGTGAGGGCGATGAGGGGAAGCCCGTGGGGGAAAAGAACTTCTGCATACCCTTGTGTCATATCCCCTCTGTGTCTCTCATTCGGTCCCTTCCCCTCAGGAGGAAAAAGGGTGGAAGAAAGGGTGAGAGAGAGGTTCGAAGAAAGAGAGATAGAGAGAGGGAGAGGGATGGAGGGAAAGATGGAAGGGAGGAAGAGGAGAAGAGCGTATGACAAGCGGAATAGAATGTGGGGAGGAAGGCGGGTGGTATGTGGGGGAGATGGAGGCGGGTATGTGGGGAGGCAAGGGCGACGGGCAGAAGCGAGGGCGTTATGGCGACGAGGAAAACGAAGACGTTAAGGAGGAGAGCGAGAGATGAGAAGAAGCGCGGGTGACGGGGAAGCAAGGGCGACGACGGGAAGCGCGGGTGACGGGAGAGCAAGGGCGACGACGGGAAGCACGGGTGACAAGGAAGCAAGGGCAACGACAAGAAGCACAGGTGACGGGGAAGCAAGGGCGACGACGGGAAGCGCGGGCGACAAGCAGAGGCGAGGGCGACGAGGGTCGGCGAGGGAGATGAGGGAAATTGCGGGCGACGAGGAAAGCGGTATGACGTGGGAAAGAGCGGCTGACGAGGGGGAACATATGAGACTAACGACAGCGCGCGTCTGGCGACCCTGTACGGCATTCGCGTGAGCGGCCCGTGCCTAAAACGGTACGATCGGGACGCGAGGCTGAACCGCAGCAAGTGTGAAAAGAGCATCTTGTGCGACGCGAGCTTCAAAGCAAGGCACGAGTAACGCGACGATTGTTCACTAACGTAAGTGCTGCGGGTGAACGGGTTGTAACACGAGACCGGTGACGTGAGGGGGAAATCGGAGCGTGCACTGACTAAGATGGTTGAGGTGGATACCTATTTTGTTTTCCGCACAAAAAAAAAGCCCTAACAACGACTCGCTTTTGCCAACTAGCGCTAGTTTTTGTCTTGGAGCCTCCTAGTCTATGAGTACGACTTGGTAAGCAAGTTATGTGAGTGGTGAACAGTGCATATGGTTGGCGATCATCGCGTCAGTTCTGTTTTTGGGCACTCGGGTTCCGTTGTCGCAAGACGATTGCCTGGGGTTGCGAGAGTTTCTTCAAAACAAGTAGGGTAACCCTGTTTTTTGCGATTTCAAGTTCAAGAATCTTGAACTTGAAAATTACCATGCTGTACCCGGGCTTTAAGTTCCAGATCTTCAGACAAGATTACAAAACAATAACGTTCTACTTGATACAACTTCAACAGCTAACGGGTGTTCAGGGTCCTCGACATCATACATTTTTGTCTGTTTGTCTTAGTTTCCATACGATTTTTTCCAGTTAATCTGATTTTCAAGGAATGATTTATTTTTTCATCTGATTGAGTAGAAATGATTTTTTGTCTTCATCTAATTCATCAGAAATGTAATATATGTTTCGTCTGAAATCGAAACATGTTAGAGTACGGTGATTTCCCGCAGAACATGCTATGACAGGGCAAATCTGTTCTCAAAGCAAATCTGCTGTGTCGTGTAAGGTCGAATCTCTTGTGTCAGGACGAGTTTTCTATTATTGGATGAACATGTTGCGCTCTGACGTCGCGAATCTGCCGTGTTAGAGCAAATTTGCTCTGATTGGGCGAATATTTTGTGCTATGACAGGGCGAATCTGCTGTGTTAGGGTGATTTTGCTGAGACCAGTGGAGTGCGAATCACACCAGTTTGTACTGCGAATGAATGTGAAAGGTCCATAAAAGTCAGACTCACCTTGTTATCCCACGTGCATCTACACGCTAGAAACTCTATTTTAATTGGTCAGACAAGTTATTTTGAAATTTATGATGCATCAGACACGCAAAGGCGAAATATCTGATGCATCAGACGGGCCTGAAGGGCCCGTCTGACGCATCAGGGGGGTTCAAATCCTAGCAAGGACCCTGGGGGTGTTACTCCAGCAATAAGGGCGTATCCAGGTTCGGGTCATGGGCACTGTTCCGGGCATCCGCATTTTGCGGATGACCCAAACAACATAAAACGCCACTTTGGGTCCTTCGAACTCATGCGACTCCCAAAGAGCCGCGAAGGTTTTAGCGCCAAAATCATGCTCCCCACAACAGTCGCATCTAATGGAGGGATGCCAGAACAGTTCGAAACATCCTTAGCAAGACCCACACGAAACGAGGCGAAACCCACCGAAAAAACACAATCGTCAAAATTCCCGGCGTGAATCCCCTGTCAGAATATATCTGTAACTGCCTGTAGCTGTAGTTAGTGTAGTTATTATAAACTTTGTTTGGTGGAGCACCTTCTTTGTTTCCTTTGCTATATGTTCTTGCAAACCTATAGGGAAGCCCCTCTTTCTCCTTTCCAACTTTCTCGACACTCTCCTCAACCCTAAACTCGATCTCTAAGAACCTAACTAGACTATGGCTCCTAAGCCCACCTATGCTTAGTATCTAAACATGGTATTCAGAGCAGGTATCATCCTCCTGCTGCCTTCCTGCTTCCGCTGCCTATCGTCCTGCCGCGCGCCTCGGGCACGCGGCGTGTTTTTGGCGCACGGCGATTTTCTGCCCGCCGTGCGCCCTGGGCGCGCGGCATCTTCTTGCCCCGCGCGTGGCCTGTCCTCACGCCGCCTGCGCGCCTGCCTCACGTCCACGCGCGAGCCTGTCTTGCCCGCCAGTACCCTCCACTTCGCGGCACCCTGCGAGGCGCCGCTCCTGCTCGTCGCGACGCACCTGCGGGACCCGGGTGTAGCCGCTCCTGCTCGTCGCGATGCCCCTACAGGACCCGCATGGCGTCGCCTTGCTCGTCGTGACGCCACTGGGGGACCCGCGGGGCGTCGCCACTGCTCGTCGCGGCGCCCCTTGGACGCTGCTCCTGCTCGTCGCGGCGCCCCTGGGGCATCGCCCCTACTCGTAGCGGCACCCCTTGGGCGCCGTTCCTACTCGTCGCGGCGCCCTCCCCCCTGACCACCGCCTCTGCCTCACCTGCGCCCGCGCCAGCGTTGCAGCCGCGCGCGGGCCTACCTTGCACCAGCGCCGCCCCTGGAGCAGCCGCCCCTGGACCTCAGCAGCCGCTCCTGGACCTCAGCAGCCGCCCCTGGACCCCACGAGCTGCCCCAGCAGCAGCCCACGGCGCCGACCCTACAGCTGTATGCGCCGCCGCTCCTGGACTCGGTACGGCTGCCTGCCTTTGCTGCCTGTTGCTGCCTGTTGCTGCCCGTGCCTTTGCTGCCCGTTGCCGCCCGTTGCTCCCCGTGCCTGTGCTGCCCGTGCCTGTGTTGCCCGTTGCCGCCCGTTGCTGCCCGTGCCTATGCTGCCCGTGCCTGTGCTGCCTGTTGCCGCCCGTGCCTGTGCTGCCTATTGCCGCCCGTTGCTGCCTGTTGCTACCCGTGCCTGTACTGCTCGTTGCCGCCCGTTGCTGCCCGTGCCTGTGCTGCCTGTTGCCGCCCATTGCTGCCCGAGCCTGTGCTGCCTGTTGCTGCCTGTTGCTGCCCGTGCCTGTGCTGCCCGTTGCCGCCCGTTGCTGCCCGTGCCTGTGCTGCCCGTTGCCGCCCGTTGCTGCCCGTGCCTGTGTTGCCCGTTGCCGCCCGTTGCTGCCCGTGCCTGTGCTGCCCGTTGCCGCCCCGTTGCTGCCCGTGCCTGTGCTGCCCGTTGCCGCCCGTTGCTGCCCATTGCCGCCCGTTGTTGCCCGTGCCTGTGCTGCCCGTTGCCGCCCGTTGCTGCCCGTGCCTGTGCTGCCTGTTGCTGCCCGTGCCTATGCTGCCTGTTGCCGCCCGTTGCTGCCTGTGCCTGTGCTGCCCGTTGCTGCCTGTTGCTGCCCGTGCCTGTGCTGCCCGTTGCCGCTCGTTGCTGCCCGAGCCTGTGCTGCCTGTTGCTGCCTGTTGCTGCTCGTGCCTGTGCTGCCCGTTGCCGCCCGTTGCTGCCCGTGCTTGTGCTGCCTGTTGCCGCCCGTTGCTGCCCGAGTCTGTGCTGCCTGTTGCTGCCCGTTGCTGCCCGTGCCTGTGCTGCCCGTTGCTGCCCGTTGCTGCCCGTGCCTGTGCTGCCTGTTGCCGCTCTGCTGCTGTCCGCGCCCTTGTGCGCTCTGGTCTGCCTGCGCCCTCGTGCGCTCTCCTGCTGCCCGCGCCCTCGTGCGCCCTGCTGCTACCCGCGCCCTCGTGCGCTCTGTTTTGCTCTGTCGCCCCTGCCCCCCCCCCCCCCCCCCCTTCTTCGTCTCCTTGCTGTGCGTGCAGCCGTGGAATGGAGGCTATGGGGGTGGCGGGTATGGGGGTGATGGGTGTGTGTGATCCCCTTCCCCTCCTCCTCCTTTCTCTCCCACTGTTGCAGCTGCTGCTGGGGGGGGGGTGGGTGTGAGGGTGTGGGGGAGCTGGGGGAGAGGTGCTAGGGTTGTCAAGGAGTGTGGAAGGGGGAGTTGGAGGACTGAGGAAGGTTCCAGGAAGCAGCCGCCTTGGAGCCAGCAGCTTCACCTGGCAGCAACCTCTCCTCATATAGTCCCTCCTCCTCACTTCCCCTCTCCTTCTGCTGCGCTTGGTGTACCCCTTCAGGGGGTGTCTCTGCATTAGCTTGTGCTGCAGGCAGTTATGGGGGAGTGTCAGAATATATCTGTAACTGCCTGTAGCTGTAGTTAGTGTAGTTAGTATAAACTTTGTTTGGTGGTGCACCTTCTTTGTTTCCTTTGCTATATGTTCTTGCAAACCTGTAGTGACGCCCCTCTTTCTCCCTTCCAACTTTCTCGACTCTCTCCTCAACCCTAAACTCGACCTCTAAGAACCTAACTAAACTATGGCTCCTAAGCCCACCTATGCTTAGTATCTAAACATCCCCAAATGCTAGGAGGGCAGCGCGGGAAATTTTTGACCCACTAATGGTCACTAAGGTCAATTTACCGAGTGGTTGGGTGCAGAGGGGTAAGACGTGGGACATTGCCCACGTGTGAAACTCGACTGACGACCGCCAAAAAATGGCAGTAAATCCAGAATCGTACAACCGGGTGATTGGTTGGGGGTGGGTCGTGCACGTCAGTCGCCCGACACCTGCACCTTGACCCAAAGCTGGGGCCGCGCGCGGCTCGGCAACCCACTTTGGGTCATGCGCAAATTCTGCATGACCCAAACAGTAGAATGAACAGTGCTCATGACCAGAGCCAAAGATACGCCCTAAATGTGACAAAGTTGCTGTTGTAGATACCATGTTGAATCACACAAGTAACATGCACAGTGCAACCAAAAATGTTAATCATCAGTAAGTGATTTCAATGAACGGAAGTGCAAGAAACCAGACAACTCACATGGGTATAGTTTGACAGTCACATGCCTTGGAAGGGGCTGGTTGTTTGAGGCATTGAGCCTTCCTCCCCCACCACATGGAGGACTGGCTGCTAGAGGCATGGTGGCGATCAGAGGCATTAAGCCATCCTCGCCTACCACAGGGAGGACTGGCCATTGCAGCTTAAAGCCATTCTCCCCCACCACAGGGAGGACTGGCGGTTGAGGTTTGAAGCCATCCTCCCCCACCACGGGGAGGAATGGCCCACACTCAGGGTTGCTAGTATCAAGACATGCGGGAGCCCATATGCACACGCCGGTTCTGTCCTTTTGGACCCCCATCAAGTAGCATAGCTGCTGCAGTCAACTCTGCTACCGGACGAAACCATTGTGTATGGCCTGGAT